AATGTGACTGGTTGGTATCCCAGCACATTTTTATTTTTCACTTGTGCTTTAAAATCCAAATGGATCACCTTAGCCCTTTCTTGGTTGATTACAAAAAGGCACAGTACTCAACAAAGCAAAAAAGAACATATGATAGGTGTAAAGTTTTTCTTTTTTTAAATCTACAGGTCCTCCTGTAGAATGAAAGTTCTTAAATGAAAGCAATTTGATTCAGTTATTCCACATTCCCAGCACCTAGTACAGGTTCTAGAACATTGGGATTATTCCATTAATATTTGCTAAGAGAATGAACATTCTCTATTTGAGTTCACAGAGTCTAACTACTTCAAGAAAACACAATATAGACATGTCAAAAGTCCTAAGAATTTACTCAAATGGAAATGCAAATAAATCAGCAGTTGGATGTCGCTATCATAGAATAAAGCCTATTTTGTGTTCTAGCAATAGAAAAACCATGGATCTCAAAATGAGATGATCATTTCACTCTCCACTGCCTTGTTCACAGCACAGTAGGCTTCTGCTGTTAGTCAATAAATACCTGTTGAGCATTTACTGCATGCAGGAGTAAATACTAAACCCTAGAAACACAAAGGTAAACAATAAATAATAATCCAATAACTCATAGTGCATTATGTTAGTGGGAGTTTAAACTTTGATGTCAGAAAATGAGTTGCATAAAATAAAGCTGTTTCTATAATTGACAAACATATTTTCATTGAAAATATTCAAATAAAACCAAATTATCAATACTATTTACTGATATATCCCTTTTAAAAGATAACCTCTCTTATTGTTCGATATGCAAGTACTTAGTTATTTAATTAAAAGTGTACACATTACTATCGGGAAGAAATGCCAGGTGATTTGAACACCGAACAGGAATATTTTACCTAAATCATGAGATTGTATTTGAAGTCATGGGTGGAGTTAGCTGGGAGAAAAGGCAGTGAAGACCATTACAGGTAGAGGACAGAATACTGAGACATTTTTCACATACTAAGAAAAAATAATGTCCTGAGACATCATTGAAAAATTGTTAGATGGTATCAGAAAGACAAAAGTAGATATTAGATTAAGATGAGATTGAAGAGAAAATATTTCAGGTCCTGTAGGAATATCATGGCTGAAATTTATTCTTCATGGTCCAAATATTGCTGAACTTTGGTAAACTAGGGCATATTCATATAAGGGCATAAGGGTCTATGAAGGACATACAAGAAATCATGTCATATAATGAAGCGGTTAACACTCTGAGTATGTTCAATCTGAATAAAAAGACTGGAAAACTATAATCAATTTTATATTTTCCATTTCTTTAGCTACTTGAGGTTGAGCTTTCTTTCTAATAGGTTTACACAGTTTATATTTATTTCAGTGCTTTTTTCTCTTCACATCCTTTCTCATTTTTATCTCGACTTCTTTACCTTCTTCGTATCAATGTAGCAATGTAGTGTTATTTTTTTTCAATTTGATATGAGGGAAATATTTTCTGTAGTGGAAAATTTCTGTTTTCACATTGTATTAAAGTATTTTTGCTGTGCATTCTTAAATGTGGGATGTTTTTAAGCAAATGTATCAGTTTTTTTTTTTCCTTATGACTTTTGGGTGTCCTGTCTTGTATTGGAAGACACATATATGTTTCTTAATGTTCTTCTATCTTTTCTCCTATGTTCTACATCAAGGGGTGAGTGTTAACTGGAAGAAAAAGTGTAAGAGAGACCAACCTTCTCTGACCCCAGAGCTTCCATCCCACTCCAAGGAAAATAAAGTTCAACATCTGTTCTAATCCCTGAATGTTCAAGTAGAATCTCCTTCTCAGATGAAAATTGCAATCTTAGCCAGTCTTTTGTCCTTAATGTTGTATTATCACAAGAGTGTTTTTGGAAGAAAGCTTAAAAAAGTGCTTACTGATTATCTATAAACATGCATTTTTATCTTTGGAATACAACTCACGGTGCACTAAGATGTATCATATGTGATCAACTGCACTGAATATGATGCCCTTTGTTTAAAGGGTGTGTCTATGTAATTTTTAGTTTCTTAAATTTTTACCAGAGACACTTGAACTTTTTCTACCATCCATGACACATATTTTGTAAGTTGGTTTAAGAGGAAAATTTCTGGGAAAAAAACACCAAAAAATGTTGTTAATTACTCCTTTCATTTGTTAAGAATAATGTTAGTTCCTTCTAAGAATTTCATAACTTGATACTCCATTACTGGAGATAAATCTGATTCCTTAAAATGAATTGTTTTTCCTTCTTCAAACAGAATTTCTTAGGCCCGTGTCTGGAACGTTAATACGGTACCTTCCTGTTGCATTATTTTTGTGTCTTTATGAGATGTTCATTGAGGGGAGCAGTATCATCATAAATATATAAAGACAAATAAACCACTGGTGTATTATTTATTTACTTACTGTGGTAAGAACACATAATATGGATTCTACCCTACTAATAATTTTTAAAATTTTTACCTGATATGTAATTATACATATTTATGTGATATAATTTAATGCTTTGGTACCTGTATATGTTGTACAATAATCAAATCAGGGTAGTTAGTATATCCATTGCCTCATGCTTCTATCTCTTCTTTGTGGTGAGAACACTCAAAAGCTTCTCTTCTTGACATTTAGTAATATAGAATACCTTACTGTCAAGCACAGTCACTGTACTGTGAAATGTAGCACCAAACCTTATTCCTTCTATCTTATTGTAACTTCGGACCTGTTAACCCACCTCTTCCTATCCTCCTGTTTGCCCCTTCTTTATCCAGTCTCTGGTGATAACTGTTATACTCTCTATATCCATGATATCACTTTTCTTTATTTTCTAACTTCCACATATGATGTCTATTTTTCTGTGTTTGGCCTATTTCACATAACTTTGTGACTTCCAGGTTCATCCATGTTGTTACATATGACAGAATTTCATACTTTTTATGGCTAAATAGTATTCCACTGTATATGTGTGCATCTAAACAAACACATATACATTTTATTTAGCCATTGATTATTGGGCACTTAGGTTGAGTCTCTATTTTGGCTGTTGTAAATGGTGCTGAAATAAATATGGGGAGGCAGATCTGTTATTGACAAACTTCATTTCCTTTAGCTATATGCCCATTAGTGGGGAATGCTGGATCTTGTTCTATTTTTAATTTTTTGAGAAACCTCTACATTGTCTATACTAATTTTCAAATCCACCAACAGTACACAAATGTTCTCTTTTCTCCGTCCTCACCAAGACTTGCTTTGTTGAATATTTTTTGATAACAGCAGTTCTAGTTTAAGTGAAGTATCTCATTAAGATTGTGATTTGCATTTCCATGATAATTAGTGATGCTGAGCATGTTTTTGTTATACCTGCTAGCTATTTGTATGTCTTCTTTTAAGAAATGTCTGTTAAGCTATTTTGCCCATTTTATATAAGATTTTTTTTTTGCTTTTTTTTTGTGGGTTTTTTTTTTGCTGTTGTTTAATTTTTTAAATATATTCTGGATATTAACTCCTTTGTTAGATGTATCGTTTGTAAACATGTTCCCCTCTTATACAGGTTGTCTTTTTCTTCTGGTACTAATCCTTTATTGTGAAAAAGCTCTTTAGTCAGATGAAATCCTATTTGACTATTTTTTGTCTTGTTGCTTTTGCTTTTGAGGTCCTTATTTTTAAAAAAAATCCTAGTCCAGATCAATGTTGGGAAAGGGTTTGCCTAGGTTTCCTTCTAGTAGTTTCGTAGCTTTGGAATCTACATTTAAGCCTCCAATTTGATTTGATTTTCTAATATGGTGAGAGATGGGTATCTAATTTCATACTTCTGCATGTGGATATTCAATGTTCCTGGCACCATTTATTGACGAAACTGTCTTTCCTTGATGTGTATTCTTGGTATCTTTGTCATTTACAGTGTAGCATTGTTACCATATAAGCATGCTGTACAACATGGTTACAAGGTAACAGTACTTTAGGACATTTTAATCTTGCTTACCTGGAATGTTATACCTATAAAATAATAACTTCTCAACCCCTTGCAACTCCTGCCTCATGCGCCTCTTAGCTCCTGGCAACCACCATTCTATTTTCAGCTTCCATAAATTTGACTAGTTTGGGTGCCTCATATATGTGGAATCATGCAGTATTTATTCTTCTATGATTGGCTCATTTGATTTAGCATAAGATCTTAAAGTTTCATCCATATTGGCAAAAATAGAAAGATTTTCTGGAAGACTTTAAGTAAAGACTATCCAATGTAAATTCTGTCATAAAGTAGAGAAAAAGGCCCAAAGATCACTGCTTCTCTCCCTGGTATAGAAAGATAAGATATTTCTACACTATCTGTGGTCTTGTGATTTGTAAGCTCAGTCAACAACCAGAAGAAGACAGAGACCAGTGAAAAATTATTACCTCTCTGAAGCTCAGTTTCTCATCTGAAAAAACAAGAAATGGTAAGGAAACATCTCCAGATACTTCTTAGTTTTGACCTTTGCATCTTATCAGCTGCTATGAGATGTTAAACCAAACAAACAAACAAACAAAAACTAAAAATGAGGACAGGTGGAAAGTAATGTTCTGTTTGACCTTTGGTCATCCCCTCAGCATCTTGACCTGACCTTCACCAGTAACTAAAACTGCCATTTTTTCATGGCTTATTTGGGGTCAAGTAAATATTAACTATGAAAATACTTTGTAAATAGAAAAAGTTCTTTGCAGTCATTGAAGGTTTTTTATTGAAAGTAAGAACAAACAACATTGGTTAAATAAAGTTTAAACAAAAGACAAACATACACTGAAACAAGCAAGAGCAAGGGTTAGAAAACAAAATCAAATTATTGGCAGGCTCCTGAAAATTTTTAAAACTATTGGAGGAATTATATAAACTTGAGAAGGCCGTTAGAAGCAAGTCTTTCTGTAGTACACTGTTGCTAACCTGATACATCAACAAGGCAAGTGATACAATTAAAATTCCATATTCTAAGGAGATAGAATCTGACTGGCCTCACTTGGATCAGGTGTCCTCCCTCAATCTGTCAGATTTGGCAATTCTAGTGACATAGTGACCTGTCACAAGCACTGGTGGCCTGGATCTGCAGAGGCCCCAGTGTCCACAACAAGGTAAAGTGCAGTGGGACAGCAGGTCTGCCTGATACATATATGACATTTATTGTTTCTCAGCAAAAATAATTCTGGAAATATATGTATATATGCACACATAATATATATATAAAACATATATGTCATATATAATTATATATATTATATATATAACATATGTCATATATAATTATATATATATTATATATATACACATATGCAAAAAAATTGAGTAGCTCAATACATGAGAAAAAAAAAGAAAGCTCTTGGACATTTCTGCTCTAGTCAGGTTACTCTGTTGAATCCCCAGGATGGCTGTAGCCTCATGTTTTGTGTGTAAATAGCTCATAAAGACTAGAGAAAATCTATTAGATTACCATAAATAGTCCTTGAGAACAAACAGTATGATAAGCATTGGAGGTGATATACATGTAAAAAACAAAACACACTATCTTTATCCTCTTAGGAATAAACCTTTAATGAAAATTAAAAATCTTGAAATTTAAAATCTAATAGAAAGACAATGGAAATCTGCAAAAATCAAAGGCCATGGAGTTGAGATTCTGGTTTATTATCTATGCCTATATGTGCATATATATAGATATATATGTATGCATATGTGTGTGTGTGTGTATATGGTGAGAGAGACATATATATCTATGCCTATATATCTATAATATAGGCAGAATATAATAAGATTTTCTGAAAATCTCACTGAAATATTAATATGGGCACAGAAACTTAAATGAGCTAATGATAACAACAAAGACCTGACCTAAAAGACTAATTATATGGAGGATCTAGAGAAGTTTCAGCTTATCTCAAGGCAAATAGAATTTTAGTGGTGTACCTGAGCAGCAGCACTACGAAGGGAATAAGGCTGTGCTCCTGGAATTAGAATCCTGGGACCTGTCCATTCTGTCCACTTTTTTGCTCCAATGCAAACTCTGCAGCATCCAGAAAAATAAGAAGCTGTTAGATTTAACATGAGAATTTTATTGTTTCAGAAAAATTATAAAGCTTCCACTTCTCTATTCTTGCATGACATGTCTTATACCTACATAGCTAGCCAGTGATTGCCATTCATTATAAGCATACCTTGATAGTGCAGCAGGCAGTGTCTGTTCCAATCCATGTTTCCTTGCCCTGTCTTTGAATGAGCTCACCTGCAGCTCTAATGGATAGTTACCAGCAACGTGACAGTATCTCTCTCTATCTGTTTGCTTCAATGCTTGCTTTGGCCGTACAGGCTTGGTCTGATCTGCAAGTCCAACTCAAAATATAGGAGAGCTAAAGCTGCAAGGGTCAATGTCTACCAACAGGGGGATGGGAGTCAATGAATAAGTGACCTCAGTCTCTTCAGACTTTGCTGGAAAAGCTTGAATATTTCTCATAGAGACCCTTGTGGTTTGGAATTCAAGTTGTTTAGACTGGTAAGCCACTCATCAATGGACACTACCTCTTCTTTTATTTCACTTTCCCGCTCCCTATCTGGAATCATAAATAAACGACCTGTTTCTAAGTTCTTGTAACATGGTCTAGTCTAAGACAGACAGACAGGATAATTGTCTGTAAAATGAGAAAAGCCAAGTTCCTATAATATAGTTCTAGATAACATGCAATAGACGGTGTTTATGACGAGGCAAGCACTATTTGCAAGCTTTCTAAGAAATGCAATTTTTATGTCCTTGGGCCTCAGAATGCCATTTATGAGGACAAAATGTTACTCGCACTAGAATTCGGTGTACTGAATTGCATAAGGAAAGATCACAGTATTAGCAGAATAGAGACCTAGATCATGACCTGTCCCAAAGTGATCATATCATTTAAGAAATATTAACACATAAATAAAAGAATGAAAAGTAGAATAAGATGGATTTTTTTTTGAGACGGAGTTTTGCTCTTGTTACCCAGGCTGGAGTGCAATGGCGCGATCTCAGCTCACTGCAACTTCCGCCTTCTGGGTTCAAGCAATTCTCCTGTCTCAGCCTCCTGAGTAACTGGGATTACAGGCACACGCCACCATGCCCAATTAATTTTTTGTAATTTTAGTAGAGACGGGGTTTCACCTTGTTGACCAGGATGGTCTCGATCTCTTGACCTTGTGATCCAACCACTTCAGCCTCCCAAAGTGCTGGGATTATAGGCATGAGCCACCACGCCCAGCCTGAGATGGATTTTTTTTTTTTTTAGTTGAAACAAATGGACTTTTTGATGCTGAGTTTCTTGGATGGGTGGTGCATAATATCATTCATTAGGATTGATGAATGTAGTTTTTTTCATTGATGACAGCTATGTGTCTATACATACATAATTTTGTATTTGTTGTTGTTGTTGTTGTTGTTGTTTTAGAAGAGATGGGGTTTCTCCATGTTGGTCAGGCTGATGTCGAAATCCTGACCTCAGGTGATCTACCCACCTCAGCCTCCCAAAGTGCTATGATTACAGGCATGAGCCATGGTGCCCAGCCCCAGAATATTTTTCTTGATATGATGGTGAAGTCTCTAGATTAAAAAATGCTTTATATTTAAAAAATTTACATCCTGAAAAAAATGCACCTTTTATTTATTTTCCAGCTTAAAGATTTCAAAGGAATTGGTGCTCTATCAGAAAAGGTTGCACAAACAGAAGACTTGCAACAAGTCAGTAATTTAACCCTGCGACAGGTTCAAAGAAGGGCTAACACAGCCACGAGAGGGTTCCACAGACAACATATTCATGCTGGTGCTACAACTCCTTTACTTATCAATGAGGAGAGCAGAGCAAGGACTTGTGGAAAATAGATTAAAGAAGACATTTAACTTTTCTGGATTCCAACATAAGGTCCTCATTTTGATAACTACATATATATTGTACATTTCCCCTAGTTTTAGGAAAGGAAACTACTTGTCTAAAATGGTGACAATTCAACCATATGTTGACAGTTTTTCATGGCCAGTGGGAAGTCATGGGCTTCCTTTGTGTGGTAGCAAGCTAGTACTCATTAGACTCAAACCCCAGTGACACACAGAAGCTGAAAACTAAAGCACACACTTGGCTGTGAATCCGAGAACATGCATTTTCTACCAAGCCCTGCAATCATAGCAGTGAGAGCTTGGGTGGTGTGCACAGTGGAAATACTAAGAGTTGGGAGCCCAGTAATTCGAACTATGGTCCTAGGACCTACCATTTCGCATTCTAAGACAATTCATGACAAGTATTGGGCTCATAGTTTTTCCATTTGTATAGAAAAAAAGACTAAATAATATCCGAGAGTATTACAAATGATTTTGTAAAGCCAGTGGCAGAAAACTGATGCTTATATTTATTGATTTATCAGTGCTTTGGGGTAGCCAAAATTAATTTCAAAGGAGGACCTTAACTCCGTCAGATACACCCTTGGCTCAAGTTTTTATGAGTGTGAGAAACTTCTGCTTCTTTTTTTTTTCCCAAAGAAAATCCTGAATAGAGCTCTCTAACTCCCCTAGTGCATGTAAACAGTTCTCCTTACTCAAATGTTGTGGAGGCAGATGAGTGCTATGTTAATTACACTAACTAACCACTTACTCTATTTTTACTAAGGGTTACAACTTTTATATCATGGCATCTCAGTTTCCACAGCTCTGATGAAACATAACGGTTATGCATGAGTATTGCTGAGGGCTCCCACCCACATATCTTATTTCAAATAGTCCAAAGTGTAAAACTTCCTGCCAAAACAAGTCAGATCAGCAGAGGACTAGAAAGGTAACTCACATAGTTTTCCCCTTGTGTGGTATAATGCAAACATATATTGGTTTTGGTCACCTCCTTGGCCCCAGGCACAAAGGTCCTAAATCTTTTGGGATTTCTGAGTAATAAGTGTGTCTTTTTAAATTTGTACTAGGTCCCTTTTTATCATACATGAGTTTATGCTAATGAGTTGACTTAGAATGGGGCTTTATAGGCTTAGAATGAGACTGGTCAACAGAGACACAACGTGATTCTGGGTTAAAACATTCAGCCCCACCCACCAAGCTCTTGGAAGAGGAGTAAGGGTCTAGAGACTGAGATCTAAAACACTTCTGAAAAATTATAATTGGAGAGCCTCAGAATTGGCAAATACACCCATGTTCTAAAAGGGTGATGACCCCAACTCCACAGAGCAAAGCTCCTGAGTTCAGGCTCTCACCAAGCCTTGCCTAATGTACCTCCTCAACTGACAGTACATTTGTAACTTTTATAATAACCTGGTAACTGTAAGCAAAGTCCCATCCTGAATTATGTGAGCTGGGCTAACAAACTAGCCAACCTGAGTAGGAGATTGGGGGAATTCCCAATTTATAGCTGGTCTGTGAGAAATATGGATGGCTTCAGGATTTGTGTTTGGCATGTAAAGAGGGGACAGTCTTGTGGGACTAAGCCCTTAAAGCTGTGGAGTCTGATGCATACTCCAGGCAGCAGAATTCAATTCAAGTGTTGGAGACCCAGTAGGCATTTGGAGAATTGGTCATTGGTGCCAGAAAACACCCCACCTTCCTATCCCCCTTTTCCATCAATATTGTTTATAAATGAACTGTACAGTAAGGTCAAGTCATCATCTTTGTGAAGGGACCCAGTTCCTATGAGGGACGGTTGAAAGGACTGGGAACGTTTAGTATGAAGACTCAGAGACTAGGGTCTGAGTGGACTCTTGGCAACTACCTTCTGATAATGTAATGTTATTGTACAATATAGAGAATGATAATTTTTAAATGAGACTTACACAAAAGTAGAAGATACCTGAAGACAGAATATGACAACTGAATAAGGAGTTTCCTATTGATTTAAAATGTCCAGAGATGGAATAATTTTCTCACTATAAATTTACCAATCTAAGTATGGGCAATATCTCTTAAATGCTAAAGAGAATATACATGTCATCTTCATTCATTTTTTATTGCTATAAATAAATACCCAAGATTGGGTAATTATTACCTTTTTTTTTTTTTTTTAGAAATAAAGCAATATTTGGCTCACCATTCTGATGGCTGAATAGTGAAAGATTGAGCATCTGTTTCTGATGAGGGACTCAGGCTGCTTCCACTGCTGGTGGAAGACAAAGGGGAGCAGGTGTGTGTAGATCACATGGCAGGAGGGGAGAAGAGAGGGAAACAGAGAGAGGGAGGTGCCAGGATCTTTTTCAAAACCTGCTGTCTCTCTGGAGTTAATAGAGTGAGAGCTCACTCATCCTGTGGCATGGGGGAGAAGGATATTATTCTATTCATAAGGGATCCACCCCTTGACTCAAATGCCTGCCATTGGGCCCCACATTTAACACTGGGAACCAGATTGATTACATCATGAAGTTTGGAGGGGACCAACATCTTAAATCATAGCACATAGAGATTCTGCACTAAGTTTTCAATCAGCCTGTAATCCTATAATAGGCATTCACAGCAGTCATTTTGCTTATTATTGGATGTTTACAAAATACTCGCACGTGATCCTTTCTTGCAGGATTCACAAAACTCTGTTGTAGTGGTTTGTAGTGTAAAAATTCATTCCAGTGATTAAGTGAATTTTCCAAGGTAACCAAAGTAGTCAGCAGTTAGTACAAATTCCCAAACCAACCTTTTGATAGAAAAACCTGTGTTATGCCAAATATATAAAACCTTTATCTGGTGGCTGAATTCACGTGAGTTACAACGAATTCCACTATGATCACTTCTACAAAAAATGAAAAGTACTAACTTCTCTACTATTAATACTAACTTTTAACAATATAACAATATGTACCATCTCTATCTACTGTGATAGTCAACACTCATTCCATATTGCAAAAAGTTACTCTGAGTGTGACTCAGAAGTGGTTCTTCACTTCCCACGGACACTGCAAGCCTAAAGTGTTCAGCCCTATTGAGAAAATACTAATCTCTGAAGAGTAGGACTGGAAAGCTTTGCTGTTTGTAGCAAATATTCTGTACTTTTGGAAACACTCCCCATAATGATCACAGATGACCTGCTGTAGAAACACATATGATTCATTCTTTCTTGCTGGGTTGAAAAATCTCAAAGAAAGTACTACGTCCCCCAACTTTGCCACCATGTTACAGTGAGAAGGTTCAGAAGAAGCAAAAGCAAATGCCTTTCTGTAACTTCAAATGGAACAGTTTGTTGGAGGCAAAGTCCAAGTCTAAAACATCTCAAATAAAAATTACAGGCCGGGCATGGTGGCTCAAGCCTGTAATCCCAGCACTTTGGGAGGCCGAGGCGGGTGGATCACGAGGTCAAGAGATGGAGACCATCCTGGTCAACATGGTGAAACCCCATCTCTACTAAAAATACAAAAAATTAGCTGGGCATGGTGGCACGTGCCTGTAATCCTGGCTACTCGGGAGGCTGAGGCAGGAGAATTGCCTGAACCCAGGAGGCGGAGGTTGCGGTGAGCCGAGATCCCGCCATTGCACTCCAGCCTGGGTAACAAGCATGAAACTCCGTCTCAAAAAAAAAAAAAAACAAGATACAGTCTATTTTACATAGAAAACATATTAAAGTGTATTTAGCCTTCAAGGACTATTTATTATACATGGTCACCCTGGTAGAGATTTGTGGGGAAAGGGAATCTACACAAATCTATAAAAATCTGCTTTGTTGGCTTTAGAATTTAGAGATAATATTTACCCAAGTGCTTGGGGATATGGACTACAGACATTTTATTTTGAGAACAATCCATGTATTGGATGCAAAAATGCCTACAAGTAATATCTTCCATGTTAAAAGAATATGATTGATTCGGAAAGGTGGAAAACTAAGTGGCGGGCCCTCTTTTCAGTTTCCAGCAGTTTCTGGCATTTTGTGAATGTTTTGAAAATGTTGTCAAGTCAAGAAAAACAAATAATAAATATTTTCAGTCATACAAGTTTTATCTTCATGGCACTCCAAGAGATTTCACTAAGACATCGGGGCAAGCTGTCCACCTTTCTATAGCAAAAGGAATTTGCTTACGGAAGATAGACAAATTGAGATGCAAAACATTCTGTTAGTGACCACAGGATTTCCTTAGATGTGATTTCTCTGCTCATGAATTATGAAAGCCCAAGAGCAATATTTCATGCCACTACGAATTTTTTTTAATTGAACTATCATTGGCACACAACACAATAAACAGATTTAAAGTAAGGAATTTGGTAGGCTTTGATATGTGAGGATTTCCTGTGAAATCATTATCACCACCAAGAATATAAATGTAACTATCACCCCAAAAATGCTTCTTGTGCTCCACTAATCTCTCCCACATCTAGTGATCCCTATCCAAAGTTTGATTTGCTTTCTGTCAATATAGACAATTTTGAATTTTCCAGAATTTTTAATAAATAAAATAATATAATATGATTTGTCTGGTTTATTTCACTTGACATTTTAAGATCCAACCAGGTATGAATAGTTCATTTATTTTAATTTCTGAGTAATATTCCATGATATAGATACATTACAGTTGGTTTATTTATTCTGTTGGTGATATTGGGGTCATTTTAGTTATTGCTCTAATAAATATAACTTCTTTGAATATGCACTTAAAATATCTTTATAAAATACACATTGATTTCCACTGGGTAAATTCTTAGGAATGAAATGGATGGATCATATATTAGTTATATGATTAAGTTTTTAACAAACTGTCAAATTGTTCTCTGAGGTGGTTATATAGTAATTCCACTTCCTTACCAATACCTGGCATGGTGAGTTTTCTGTTGTGCTTTGTATTCCTATTTTGTTTTCCATTTTATACCTACTAATTGTTGTGTAGTGGTGAATCAATGTGGTTTATTTGCATTTTGCTAACAACCGATAATGCTGATTCTCTTTCCATGTGCTTACTTGACATCTGTACATCTCTTGTCATGTATCAGTTTAAACTTTTCCCATTTTTATTGAGTTGTTTTCTAATCATTGAATTTTGAGATGAATATATTATATATTCTTTATACACTTTCCTTATCAGATATATATCCTACAGAAATGTTATCCTAATCTGTGGCTCTCTTTTCAATATCTTTAGAATATCAGAAGTTCTTAATTTTGATAAAGTCCAAGTTTTTATCTGATATAAATTGTGATTTTACTGTTAGACCTAAAAAATATTTTATAACTCAAAGTCACACAAATTTTCTCCTGTTTTCAAGAAGTTTTATATTTTCAGATTTTACATTCGTGACTATGAATTATTATGTTAATTTTTGTGTATGATGTGAAACACAGATGAGTGTTTTTTCCATATGAATATTTAGTTATTCTAGCACTATATTCTGAAACGACTACCTTTTCTTATTGAATTGTTCTTGCACTTTTGAGGAAAATCAGTTGACCATACTTGTATGGATCTATTTTTGGATTATCTATTTCATCTTACTTATTCATTTGTCATTTTAAAATTTCAATATCACAAACTCATCTTTATTTTAATTTTATAATAAGTCTTAAAGTCAGATAGTGTAAGCCCTTCACCTATGTTCTTAATTTTAAAGTTTTGTGCCTATTATATACATTATATATATATGTTAACTTTATAAAATTTTATCAACTATAGATCTACTTGGAAAGAACTGAGATCTTAACAACAGTGAAGATGAACTTCTATCTGATGAACAAGGTATCTCTCCATATATTTAAGGCTTTTCTTTTTAAAATGTATCTTCATGACATTTTGTAGTTTTCAGCATACATGCCTTGGTAATCTCTCTGCAGGTGTATCACTTTACAATTTTCATGCTATTGTAAATGTTAGTGGTTTTAAGTTTAAATTTCCAGTTGCTAATTGCTAATATATAGAAATACAAATGGTTTTTTTAAAAAATTGATTGTGATAGCCAATCAATCTGAACTGACACCTCAACAAAGATGTTATGATGACAGTAAACGAAGAAATCCTCAACATCGTGTCATCAGGACATACAAATTAAAGCAACAATGAGGCACCATTATCAGGATGGCATCTGTTAGAATGGCCAAAATCCAAAATATTGACAGGACGCTGGTGATTAGTGCAGAAATATTCTCATTACATGACATTCTGGAAAAGTCAAGACTATAGTGACAGAAAAAGATCAGTGATTGCCAGGAGCAGGCAGTGAGGAAGGGATGAGTAACAATAAAACTATTGTGTAAGATATCGTAATGTTGGATATATGTTGGTAAAACACATACATCTGTACAATACAAAGAGTGAACCCTCATGTAAACTATGGACTTAGTAATGTATCAATATCATTTATTGTAAAAATGCATTGCATCAATTAACACAATATGTTAATAGTCAGGGATATTAAGGGGCAATAGATAAGGAGTATTATGGAAACTCTTTATACATTCCATTCAAGTTTTATGTAAACCTAAAGCTGCAATAAGAGAAAATGTTTACTAATTAAAAAAAAAACACTCATCAAACATTTAAGAAATATTGATCACATACTCTGAGGGCTTAACAAAGTAAGTTATTTTAGAGATGTAGTGTGTTTAATTATTTATCTATTGATATTCAAAAGAAATTTTGCATAAACTATAGTATAATATGTAAATAATCTTTACTTTCTTTTCTTTTCTTTAATCTGGATGCCTATCATTTATGTTTTCTTTCCTAATTGCACTAACTTGAGCTTCCAATAAAATGCTAACCAGACATGCTTAGGACAGACATCTTTGTCTTATTCTTGACCTCAGTGGGGATGACATTCAGTATTTCACTTTTAAATAGTGTTTTTCATGGTTACTGATTATCAGGTTGAGGAAGTCCTATTTATAGTTATAGTTTTCTATGCTGTTTAGTCAGTAATGAATTGTGAAATTTACCATATACTTTCTGTGTCTATTCAGATGATCCTACATTTTTTATTCTTAAGTGTTTTAATCTGAATTGTCTTGATTGATTTTTGAATGTTAAAGAATATCACAGCCTAGAGATAAATTCTACATGTTATGACTTTTGATATATTGTTGGATTCTGTTTGCTAGCATCTTTACGCTTTTCCCATATACTCCGAGAATACTTGCTTGCAGTGCTTGTAGATGCAGCATTTACCCTGAATGTTGCACAGAGTAGCTAGCTTTTATTATTATTTTCACCTTGCTCTAGTACAGTGACTTGGGAAACAAAAGACATCATTCTATTTATAGCATTCCATTTTTAGCAGTAGTATTTCCGTTTACAAAATATGGTAATTCTTGACCTCTCAAAATGTCAAATCCTAGGCAATGTGACATTCCTACATGTGATGTTCACGTGGTCCTCCAGCAGTGGTTGACTGAAGATTAATTTGTTAAATCTGATTTTTCCAAAAAAAATGATTCTGATTATTCTGATATTAGTTCTATTTAGAAATCACTCCAAGAACATTTTTTATATTTTATTTTCACATTGAAAATCAGTCAGATTTGCTCCAGCCTCAGAGGGTGTTTATGTAAAATTAAAGAAGTGCTGGAAGCAAGCTGCGCTTTTTTCCGTAAATGGAAAAAGGTACTTAATAAATAAAATTCTTTGCATCTATTTCATGGGGGATATTATATATTATAGCATATTTGTCTGTTAATTCATCTTTCATTTTAAGAAAATATTTGTATAGAATTTTTATAATTTCAGTATGTTTAATCTTCATTAAAAGACAGAATTTACCAAAGAAATCCTCTTGGTTTGAAATTTTCTTTATGAAAAAGTATAACTGAAAATTAAATACATTTATCAGATGTAGGGCTATTCGGATTATCTATTTTTATCTTGAGTTAGTTTTGATGATTTCTGTTTTCAAGAAAGTTTTATTATTTTATTATTGTCAAAGAATGCAGTTCATATGAACTGATTTACCTAAAATTTGTCAATATTTGTTTATGGCTCTGGATATAGTCCATTCTGGCAAATGCTTTCTGTGCACTTGAAAAGAAAGTATATGCTTCTGTCAATTTAAATATTAAGTCGATTATTTTGATTGATATTGTTGTTTGTTTTTAGTATAGCATTACTGCTTTTTTCATCTAGTTGTAACTTCAGTTATTGAGAGGCGTTAAAATAATCAACTGTTCTCTTAAGCATTATTTTAGTTTATCTTGCAAGCCTATGACTTATTGCTTAATGTATTTTAAATCTGTTTATTAGGTACATAAATCATTTATGATTTTTATGCCCCACTTTATTACTGAATCTGAAACATACACTGCCTGTTATTTATATAGCTACTCCAAATTTCTTTTTTGTTTAATGTTAGCATAGTATAACTTTTTACATAATTTTCTTTAAATTTACATGTCTTCATATGGTTTGTTGTAGTATAATGAAAATGTATACTGTATATAGTTGATTTCTCTCTTTTATACAGTGTGACAGTCTCCATTTCTTATTGTGGTTCTGGAACATTTGTAATTAATGTGATTTTGCGGAGTTGATGTATTATTGCTATATAACAAAATATCCCAAACTAACCAGCTTAAAACACAAACTTTTACGAGCTCACACTTTTTCAATAACCTGGGAGGAGTATAGCTGGGTGCTTCCAGCTCAGAGTCTCCCATGATATGTCATTGAAGCTGTCAGCTGGGGCTGCAGTCATAGCAGATTTGACCAAGGCTGCAAACACTGCTTCCAAGATCACTCATAAGGCTTTTGAAGGATGCTATGTAAATGGGTCTCTCCTTAATGTTGTTAATGAGCTGGCTTTATCTACAATGAGTGGTGAGCCAGAAAGAGAGAGATGACAGAAGGAAGGAGAGAGGAGAGGTCTTTATAAGTCAGTGTGTGAGTTACATACTGTCTCTTCTTCCTTATTTTACCCAAGGAGTGAGCAAATAAGCCCAACCCACAATTAAGAGGAGATAATTACATAAGGATATGAATATCAGAAATAGAGAGATCATGGAGGAATATCTTAGAGGCTGGCTACCACAGTGGGGTTTAAGTCCACTATTTTGCTATTCATTACATCTTTTTTTTTTGTTTCTTTGTGGGTGTTTTTCTGCCTTCTAATAGGTCTCCAAATGCATTAATATTCATTTTTGCAATATCCATAATGTTTAATCTTCCATTAATCCCATCCAGTGTATTTTCAACTGAGAAATTGTTTTTTTCCATCTCCAATTAAACTGATTTATGCATTTAATGTATTTTTCATGTTTTCATTTAACATGCTCACTCTTTTGTCTATGTTCTTGAACATGTCAAATACATTTATAATAACTCTTTCAATGTCTTTGTCCACTGATTCTAACATTTGTGCCATTTCTGGATTGATTTCAGTTGATATGTCTATTCATTATACCTCCTATTTTCTTGCTTCTTTTTATTAATAACAGTTTTCATTAAATACCAGGTATGGATTTTATCCTTTGGCATGCTGGCCATTTTTCTATACCTATACATATCCTTGAACTTTGTTCTGGATCTCAGCGAATTTACTTGTAATTATTTGTATCCTTTTGATTTTTTTCAAGCTTTGTTAAGTAAGACAAGAGCATCAGCGAGTCTAGGACTTGTTTGCTGCCATAAATGAGGTAAACTCTACTATGGAACAGAAACCATCCACAGGCCCATTGAAGCCTAAGAATTCCCTTAGTTCTTTGGGTGTGTTTTTCACTGCCCTCTGATATTTTGCTTACATCCATAGGTCTGTCAGTCTTCAGCTGAAGACTCAAAGAAGACTGTCTACAGGTATCTATAATTCTATCTCTCTCTGTGTTTAGCTCTCTCCTATCATCTGTGAAACTCTGTGCCATTCCCTCAAACAATGAACCACTAGGGTCTTTCTGGGTTCCCCTTACCTGTTCTGTGGTCCGGAAACACTTTATGCAGTTAGCTGAGGCAATGGTAGCATTTGCCGCATTTGTTTCCCCATCCTAAAGAGATTACTCTCCTTATTGACTGATGCCAAATATTTTTAAAGTCTCTTTTAAAGTTGTTTTTTAAAAGTTTTTTTTTCATTTGATGGGAAAATAAATCTGTTTCCTGTTATGCTATCTTGACGGAAAACAAAATGGGAAGATACTTCTTGAAAAAGATCTAAATGGCATTATTTCATGAAAGATAGAGTCAGCCATGTAGGAACAAGATAAAATATTATGATTGATGTATAACGTGGGCACTGAGAGAAGAGCGTAATACATTCAAGATACCAGCTTCTGGCAGGAACAGTAGCAATGGTGGTCTCAGATTCTTTTGATTTCCTCTCTAACTACTAACAAGCAACGCTTAGTGCCTTTGATGGTTAATATTGCATGTCAACTTGATCAGATTGAAGGATACAAAGTATTGTTCCTGGGTGTGTCTTGAGGATGTTGCCAAAGGAGATCAACATTTGAGTCAGTGGCCTGGAAAAGGCCCACCCAGCCTTAATCAAGTGGGCACAATCTAATCAGCTGCCAACACAGCTAGAAGATAAGCAGGCAGAAAAATGTGAAAGAGACTGGCCTAGCATCCCAGGCTACGTCTTTCTCCTGTACTCGATGCTTCCTGCCCTGGAATATTGGACTCCAAGTCATCAATTTGGAACTCGGACTGGCTCTCTTTGCTCTTCAGCCTGGAGAGGACCTATTGTGGGACATTGTGATACTATGAGTTAATATTTAATAAACTCCCATATATATATATATATAGGTATATATACAGATTCCATT